TGTTTTTTACCAGACCAAACTCCAGTGAAATATCTTCACAATCCTGTATGATACCTCTAAGTTAATCATTATCTGTATTTTGGTGTGATTGAATGGCAGTTTCTCTCAGATGATGAGGTTGTAGGATGTGACAGCATCTGGAATGCACAATTGAGTTTAGATATACAGTTTGTCTCCTTTCATTTGTTTATGTGAAAACAATTGTTTATGAAGGCCAAAGGTAGTATGTGAGCACTTCACAATGTTAAAAGGAAAAAGTAATATAAAGTCATGGGATAGCTGGGTATTTTTATGCATAACCCCTAGTAATAAAAAAATATCTAACAAAATGGACCAAAAATTTAATATATTTGTTAATTACTTAGTGACGAAGAGGAGAGTATCCTTAACTGAACAGAGCTGGTCACACTATAATATCTTGAAGTGTCTATTAGGGTTTTACATAAATTCAACAACAACATCATCATGATCATCAAAAACAATGTGTCAATTAGGTACTTTTATTTTTTTAATGACGTGAAATTGTAGCAAAAATGACAGTGTTCTAACAAAATGTATTAGCAGAATACATTATTGAATGACAATGGACATTGAACATACATAAATGCTTAAAGAAGTAAAACAAAATAGAACATAAAATAGTGTATTGAAGACCAAGCTCCAGTCATATATCTTCATAATCCTCTATGGGCATATGCCTTTAAGTTAATCATTATGTGTATTTTGGTGTGATTGAATGGCAGTTTCTCTCTGCAGATGATGAGGTTGTAGGATGTGACAACATCTGTAATGTACAATTGAGTTTAGATATACAATGTGTCCCCTTTCATTTGTTTACGTGAAAACAGTTGTTTATGAAGGCCAAAAGCAAAAATGGACAGTATGTGAGCCCTTCACAATCTTAAAAGAAAAAAAGTGTTATAAAGTCATGGGATAGTTTTTTTATTTTTTGTGACTGGGTATGTTTATACATAAACCCAAGTAATATAATAAAAAAAAAATCTAACAATATGAATTATAAATTCATTGTCTCTTTTACTTAGTGGAGAAGAGGAGAGAAGTTTCCACAACTCAGCAGAGCTGCACACACTTACTGTATATGTGACCAAAAACTAAAAACTAAAAAAAAGAAAAAAGATAAGAACATGTTTGTTTGGAAACCAGTTACATTTTTAAAGTTAAATTTGTATTTAAATTTTAAGAATGAAATCATTTACCTGTTGAGAGTGTGTTGACAGTCTGTAGTTGGATCACTGAACTCCAGAAAATCAGTAATGAGGTGCTTTGACAGTTACAGATTTGAAAAACAAAAGGGCGGGAATAAAGAACCCTAAACTCTAACACAAAGAACCATTTCAGCATGAAAGGGTTCTTCAAATTGCTATGGTTCTAAATAAAACCATTACTGCATGTAAAGAACCTTTAAAGAACCATCTTTTTTTTAGAGTGTAGTTGCTGTCCTACAAGCACAAGGAATATTGTTGTATTTAGACACAAATCCAATGTAGAATATCTAACATTAACCTTAGTTTGTATATTTGTTCTGGGTTAAGCACAAACTGATTACGTTGGTAATATATAGTGTGGATTTTTGGCATTTTCGCATATTTCTTGATAGGACCCCTGCTGAAAAATCCAGCATTGCTGGTCACCAGCATAAGGTATGTTTTGCATACTGGGACCAGCTTGGGATGCTGATTTGCTGGATCCCAGCATGGGATGCTGGTTGCTGGTCCCCATCATGGGATGATGGTTGCTGGTTTGCTGGTCCCCAGAACGGTAAGCAGGTGTGCTGGTGGACCAGCATAAGGTATGTTTTGCATGCTGGGACCAGCTTGGGATGCTGGCGTGCTGGTGGACCAGCATTTGTTGTCTTTTGGGTGCTGGTATGATCCCAGCAAAACCACAACAAAACTTGTGTATGTGTTACATATCATTTCTTTTGAAATTGGTTAGTGTTTGTAGTTAAAGACCAAGACAATTTTCCAAATTAATTTTAATAAATTATTTAATAAAGAAAAACACATGTTGCTGGTTACATGTTTACACAAATCCCAGTGTTAAACAAACACTGCTCAGTTTTCATATGATCCTGATCTACAGAGAGTAAAAGTAACACTGAAGCAGTGTTGTAGTTAGTGAAATAAAGTAGATTCACTCTACAAGTGATGACTGAGCATTAGTGATGATACCTGCAGATAACAAGCAGAATCACTGAGGATAAGAGGAACAGCAGGAACAGAAAAAAAGTGAAGAGGTGAGCAGAAACAGCAACTGGTTACAGCCACAAAGCCTTAGATAAAATCTCACCAGAGGATGATTAAACAACTGCAAAAACAGAATTACCATATTCACTTATTGCAAATCAGTTTGGCTTTAGTTCTTTCATATGGAACATGCATAAAGGTTGCTAATGTCTGTTACCATTATGGTGATTAGTGTTCCCTTTAGTTGGTCACTTGGCCATTGATTTTGGTTGAATTAAGTCTGTTTCAGCAATTGTTAAAAGTGCATGCTATCATTATTTTCAACAATATTGCATGGTTCTGACTGCTCTGACATACCTTTTACTATGTGCACTTTTTGAAATCAGTGACTGACAGGTGGATTTGGACATATGTGACTTCCAATTTAAGTACGAAAGTCTTTAAAAACAACAACTTTCAGTTTTGAACTTTCATTATGAAGTTGTTCTTAACTGTCCCATTGAAAGAGCTCTTCTCATAACCCCTGTAATCCAATGTACACAAGCTCTTTTAAACTGATTTATGTACAGATCTTATGAAACGGGCCAATTCCTTTGATGCTTTGAAACGTTTTACCAGTTTACCAGTCACTTAAGCAATCCAATTTTTCTGTTCTACTTTCAGCAGAGGGAGCAAAAGAAATTACAAAGCTATAATTCAATAAATCACATGTTTTACCCCTATTGTTTTTTCTTTACATCATTGTGTTAAATAGAGAAATATGCAAGCAAAAACTATGTTTGTCCCCAAAACAGTACTTGCATACAGACAGCTGGCCTACTGACACTCAACCCTAGTGGGGGAGATTCCATCGGGAGGCCATTGGCACTGACATATATGGTGTTTTAAACATGATATTCAACATATGATTATTCACACAGATTAATCTATATATTATTCCTGTAATTATTTATTTATTTATTTGATAAGACCCCTGATGACCTGACTGTCAGGAAAATCTGTATAATGTGTTCAATGCTAAATAGTTTAAACCAATATTACATGTAAATAAAATACATTAAAGGAATAGTTCACACAAAAAATATTTCTTCGATGCTTTTTTAAAGGTGAACCATCCCTTTAAGTGCCATGGAAAGAGGTGTTTTCACTTAGTTAAGCTGTCGTTTGATATGTAGAGTGATACAAATGAAAGTGCCTTTAAGGGTAAATAGTTATCTACAGGAACACCATTACCATGGCAACTTAAGAGCTAGAAGAGAGACCACCATAAAAGTCAGGCGGTGGGAAAAGGCAGCATTTATCATAACTTTTTATGCTTCTTCAAAGAATGACCAGCAGGTGGCATTCTAGTAGAGGAAACGTTTAAAACGAAGTTTTGACAAAAAGAGTGTTTGCCCTGCCACAGTGGGTTACTGAGCTTTAGTGCTGGTAAAGTGTGATATTTTTGTTCTGTCCGATCTTTTGCTGTTATCTGGGTGATTTAGAGGTTCTTTCTTTTTTGTATAGGCCTAGTATGCTTCATTTGCATCTGTCTTTCTTTTTCTCACACACCCACACAACTAAACATTGGGTGTGGTTCAACTCAAAAAGAAAAAGAAAAAAAAGTGACCATTGTCAAAAACAAACCATGGATAGCTAAATAACTAAGCACTCCATAGCTAAATAATAATCTTTTTTTTCCCCTCACAAAATAAACACATCACTGTAATTCACAATCAGCTAATTGAAATATTCTTAATATATTTTCACATGTATTTTATTGATTAGCTTATATTGATTGTAATTCTACAATCACAGAGAACAGGGCTCAGAAATAACATTCAAAATGAAAATTCAAGCAATATCAATAAAAGGTACAACACATTGACATATGTCTGACTGGACAAATGCACGTAAGGTTTCATTTGAAAGTTATAGCTTAAAATTATTTTGCTCCAAATTTTGCTATTTTATTTTTTGGTTAAACTCCTATCTACAGCTGGAACAAGGATTCCATTGTGTCAGACTACACCATGTTGCCATGGATGCATTCTAAAGCATGTTAACCAATCAGCGCTAAATATACAGATACAGTATGTCAATACATATACCCTTCTAAGAACAAAAAAAGGCATTGTACATTGTAACTGAGGTACACCTGCAGAACTTTGTGAAAAGCCAATGATTCACTTGATGAGTGATCCATCAGAATGTAAGAACCAGAGGTGGCAAATATGATTCTAGAGGTAGAAATAAGGATTTTTGTATTGTCATAGTGTGACATCAGTATTGATTTCATCAGCTGACGACAGTCTATCATTGTTTACCTACAGTATTCATACTTTTTTTTGTATTTGTATTTATAATTAATATTTTTTCAAACTCATCCATTCTATTTTGAGTATATCATTTATACACTCCCTCACCAACATGGTGGATGCTTGAGGAGTAGACACACATATAGAAGGGTAAAAGCATGTAAAAAGCCTTCCTGTGTACCAAATACTTCATATTGCACATCTTTTACCACCTTATTAATTACCACTAAATTACGCTTAACCAGTAACACTTTACAATGTAGTTGTTAATGCATTTAGTTCTCTAGTTCTAATTAGTTTAGTTAATGCATTAGGTATCTAAAACTAACAATGAACAACAATTTTTATAGCATGTATTAATCTACAGTAGGTTCATGTTAATTTATTAATATACTATTGTTCATCGTTAATTCATGTTTATTCATAATACATTAACTAATGTTAATTAGGTAAAATATTGTTAATTGTTATTTTATGTGAACTATTGAATTAATGTTTAGAACCTTATTGTAAAGTGTTGCCACTTATTCAAACACTGATTTGTTAGTTTTGAGCAACACATACTTTTGTTGACTACCTGTCAGCTTAATTTCAAGCAGATACTATGAGAATATTTGATGCATACAGTGTATGTGCTTTCTCAAAAGTCTAAGCCTTTCCTCTAGCACCAGGTTTTGCCACTCCCGGTTAACAGTATGGCTTTAAAAAGAAAGAACTAGCAGTTTATTCACAGAAAAGTCACAAATACAGTGTCATCAGCAGCAAGACAGTGTACAGCAGCATGTACTCTGCAAAAAAGGCAAATTGAAAACAAGCAACTCGGCAGCAAAGATTTTGAACATATCCAAAAACATCACTGGAGAGGCATCTTCGAACTACTAGCTGTAGTACTCATTGCATCAGCTACACTAAGGTGTATTTGGATAACATTTATAGACATTCATCAAACAGTCTTCAGCTTGATTTGTCATCATGCACATGTGAAATGTGGATGAATCTTTGAGTGTTCATGAAGCTGTTTTAATGGAAATATTACCCTAGTAAACAGTACTACATTTACATTTACTACACATTATATAAAATAACAAAGCAAGCATATGTATATATGACAAATTGTCTTCTATTTTACTTGTTCCCAGCAATTTGTAAGAACAGCTCACAGGATCTTTGTAGAACTAATATAGATTATAAAATATAGGGTTAATCTAACACTATTACAATTCGTGATTGATGTGTTTTCTGTGACGGTTGATAATGTGTCAGCTACATGTAAAAAAGGCCATCAAAACCATCCTTGTGTGGATGTGGAAGTGCTACTAAATGTGCTGTCAAATGGTGACAGTAGCTCATGTTATTCTTGAAGCTCTTACTGAGCATCCAGCGACAACTTTAGCTACATTTTAAAGGCTGTAGATACATTCAGAACAATTTAAGAGGCTTTTGTGCCTCTAGTAATTTCAGTATATGCAGAAAATTTCGTTCATCCATGTTTAACGTTGCTTTTAGAGCCACAGTGTAATATGTCCACTCTACTTCCATGTGGGTTTGTTGGTCCTGTTAGAGATGGAGTCTCTAATCTGTGTGGAACTCTCCGAGAAACTGCTACTTTTAAGGGAGTGCTCTCGTCCAGACTGCGGGGGAGGTGTGTCACTGCTTCGACTAGAAGCCCTTACACTCTGAACCCTCCTAATAGACCCCCCTAGTTTATCCTCGCTCCTTGGCAAAGGTCCGCTACTGACAGAGTCCGTTCCACCACCAGGCAATCTCTGAGAGCTAGCTCTGGCTAAGCTCTTTGATGGTGTTCCTGTTACAGCTGGTGAGGGCATGTCTTTTTTAGATCTGGAAGAAGAGGCCACAGTGTTGCGAGCAAAGCTAGGCAAAGACGAAGAACTTTTCAGGGTGTTGTTGGGACTGTCAGGTGTACCTACTTCTGAGGTTCCTTGGGCCTGAGCTTGGGCCAAGGCACGCATTGTAGAACGACACATCTTTTCCTCTGGTGCTGGTTTTGAAATGTTACGAACAGGTTTAGGATTTGTTTTCTTGATGGAGGATCTGTGTTGAGTCGAGTCCCTTGCCCACCGAGAGCTGCTTGGTGTCGCTCCTCGTTGTGCCCTGGGATCCTCTGGAGGGAGGCTTGAATGTCGCGCAGGTCTACCTTGCCTCTCGCCTCTCCTGGCTGGCATGCTTTGGTCACGATGTGGATGTCTGGGTTCAATGTTCTCATGTCCAGAAGGTTTTTCAACTTTCTTCATGCTGCTACTAGAGCGATTCTGCCTTGTAATGGGCACCACTTTGCGCATGTTCTGAGTCTCAGTTGCTGCGAGGGTTCTTGTTGGACGGCTGGCATGAGCAATTACTTTGGATGTTGTCTTGGTTTTGACAAGTTTTGTTTTGGGGCTACTGGTCTGGACTGCTTTCTCGCCAACTCTTCGCCCTTCAGCTGTGTCACAGCTATCTGTCTCTGCTTCTTCAGTAGTTACAAATGGACTGACTGATTCTGGACATGCTTGAGTGACCCTTCTGGCAAGTGGTTCATCACTTGACGTGGACACAATGTGACAATCGGTGGACTCAAAATTGGAGGAAAGGGAATTGGTGTCCTGAATAACTCTTGGAAAGTTGGCATCCTGTGACTTTGGGTTAAGTTCAGATCTTTCTTTTATGATAGGAGAACTCTCTATCTCAGAACAGTCCAACACAATGGAACAATCGGTTTCAGTGCAGTCCATGACATACAACACAGGTTTCTTACTGGACAAAGAGGGATCCAGGGGCAATGGGGTGTCACAAGTTGTTGAGGAAAAGGTACTTGTGTCTGCTTCCTCCCTCTGTGATGAGATCCTTTTGTCATTCCAAACTTTTTCTGGTTCCTCAGAACTCCTGCTAGATGGGGGTGTATCAAGGATAAATGCTTTAGGAGAGTCTTCTTCCCTTTCCAGATCTGTTACAAACACTTCATGCTGGTTGTCCACAAAAACATGACTGTTATTATTGATCTGGCTGGTTATCTCAAAGGGTTGAAGGCCAGTAACTAGTTTGTGTTTCTCCACAGAAACACTCATGTGTCCAACACTTTGACCAGATGTCCCCTGAAAGACATGCTTTGCATTACTTAATTGAGGTGTAACTCCACCTTCAGAGAGAGAAGTGTAATTATTATTATTGTAGGGATCATTGTTCATGTTGTAGCCAAAACTTGAGTATCTAGCTAAAGGACTGATGGGTTCAGTCTCAGCCCTTGGTGAAGTTGCCAGCTTCTCTTGGCAATCCTGACTCTGTGGACCCAACTCCCTATTATCATCCTGTAAGACAAGCCATGGCATGGTCTTTCGTTGATGGTTCCTGCTTGAACGTGGCAGGCTGCTGAATTTTGTATAGTCACTTGCTGAAGACCCAGATATCAGCTCTGTGTGATGGTAACGTCGGGCACTAGCTGAGCGCCCCAAAGGACTGTGGGGGCTTTGAGGTCTCGATTGAAGCAGGAAGTCCAGGAGGCCTTCTTTGGTTAGGATGTCAACATCATTTTCACTGCTGCTGCGACCAAAACCACCTGCCTCAGTATTGGCTGCACCCCAGGCACACCGTCTCTCCTCCAGTTCCCGTAAGCGACGCTGTCTAGCTTCCTCCTTTAGTTCTCTGTCCCAGTTGTGCTGCAGAAGAGTGGATAAGAGATCACTATAAGAGTTTGTGTTCACAGATATATGGTCTGTAGCATGATTCATAAATGCCTTAGGGCTATATTTACTAAACAGGGCAAATTAGCGTTAGAAAAACACCAATGGGAGGGGAAAATTCTGCGATTTACTGACAAGGTGCACATTACACTGAACACAGATGCAACATCTAATTTCCATAATGACCAGCGCAATCTACCAAAAGCAGCGCAAATTACCGCCTGCTTTAAGACATGTTTTTTTAGGAGTTAAATAATGCCGCAAATACCAGTGAATTGACGAGCACAAATCTTCGTAAATCGTGTTGCGTGATTCATTTAGATACTCTCCTCCCATAAATTTACAGATCGAAAGGGAAACATCTACAAGTGCATATTCACTAAGGTGAGTCACAAAAATAACTGTGTCCACGCCTTTTCAGTGCTAATTTCACACTGTGTGTCTTTAGTAAATCCTTTTTTAGAGTTTGCACTGGCTCAAGCTGATAGTAAATCTGGACCTTTATGTCGTGACAAATAAGCTCTTAATTATTTTATATTAAATATTATATTAAATTCATGTATTTTTTAATTTTTGCATGTTAGTCATGTGATATTTACCTTTACAGCTTTTTTGAACTTTAGGCAGAAATCTTGGAAAATTCTAAAGCACTCATCCAGTTTGAAGGTGTCTTTGTCTTCACAGAAGAAGTCAATGAGGGTATTACCCTCTTTGCGCAAGTCCAGCCTGCGATGTTTAAGGTCCTGCAGGGCCTGTGTAGAGCTCTAACAAATAAGAAGAAAGCAGGTGAGTCATTCTTATTGACATAAAAAAGTTAATTAATCCATTATAGCTAATAAAATGAAAATATAAAGACAGTAGAAATACAAAAAAAGACAAAACCATAATCTACTATGGAATTATAATTGAGGGAATGATTCATGTACCTGCAAAAAAGGATCTAGCTGCTTTTGCAGCTCAACGTCATCCTGAATTTTCTGTTCCAAGGAACGCGTTTTGACATACAGAGAGGAAAACTCTCCTTCTATATTTTCTACTGAAATTCTAAAACAATAAAAATGTAAGTCAGAGAAAGACTGATGAAGGGCTCATGGAAAGTTTGAGTACATAATGACTACATTTTTAAGAAAAAGTCAAAACTTCAATCAAAATAGTAGTTTGTTAGTTTGGTTTGACATTGCTGTAGTCATAATAATAGTTAATACAGTCAGTATTAATAAAACTCCATTTAAAGGGATAGTTCACCCAAAAATGAAAATTCTGTCATTAATTACTCACCCTCATGTCGTTCCAAACCTGTAAGACCTTCGTTCATCTTCAGAACACAAATTAAGATATTTTTGATGCATTCCGAGAGCTCTCTGACCCTCTGAGCTTTACGCTTTGATCTGAACGTAAACAACGTATCCGCGTACATACGTTGCATACGTTGTTTACGTATGTGATACTCTCCAAAATGGCGCTATAGGGTGACACGGAGGAGACAAATTGTTGAATAAATTCGTTATTTTTGTTTTCTTTGCACACAAAAAGTATCTTTGTAGCTTCGTAAAATTACGGTTGAACCACTGATGTCACATGGATTATTTTACCGATCTCCTTGCTACGTTTCTGAGCTTTGATCGTGTAAGGATCCTTGCTGTCTATGGGAGGGTCAGAGCTCTCGGAATGCATCAAAAATATCTTAATTTGTGTTCTGAAGATGAACGGAGGTCTTACAGGATTGGAACGACATGAGGGTGAGTAATTAATGACAGAATTTTCATTTTTGGGTGAACTAACCCTTTAAGGTGTTCTAAAGTTTCATAATATTGAGAGAAGTTACCTTCCACTTTTGTTTGCAATATCCATCAGAAACTAATACTGTTGTTACCTGACTGCACTCTGAACATGCGTTAGCTTCTCTGGGAACTTCAAAAGGGCCTCATCCTTTTTCTGTGCTTCCTTTGTGATAAAAGTTAAAGAAAAATCCAAGTCAAAGCAGTTAAAACAAAATGTTGGTGTTATTACAATGGCTTTTCTGCTTTCTTAAAACATTTACAAAAATGTATCATTACATCTGGAGAAAACAGTGCATCTGGTTCTGTCCCACTTACTAGTGCCACAAAATGAAGCAGGTTCATGCCAGGCTTGTTGGCCTTCGTGTCAGCCAGAGAGAGAAGTGAAGACAGTTTGAAGCCCACAGCATTGCCTGCATAGCCACCCTATGAACACACAGAGAACATCAGTCAATGTCTGGTCAATGCTGTAAAGGCCATCAACCCTTCCCAACCCTGATTTAAAAACATCAGGGAATGTTTTGGAGGAGTAGTTGAAAGGAAAGAACAAAAGTGAAAAGAGGATTGAGGGAAATGTCCACAAAAAAGGGGGAAGATGAGGGGTAAAGGGTAAGGAACACTGGAAATACAAATAAGAGAAAAATACTTACTGCATTCATGATATTTCCTGCTTGGAGAACCAAATGTAGAATGGCATGGAGTTCTTCACAAGTCATTAGTTCTGTGGAATAATCAATAGAAACTGAATAGTCACAGGCCATTTGTTAAATTAAACAACACTCTAAATGCGATTATCCTTCCTACAGTCTACAGACTAAGACATTTAAAGGAAATCTGAACACTTGATGCCACATTTAAATTAGAAAAAAAGTGCTGACAGCATGATCTACCGTGTAGTTCAAAATAGACTGCTAGGATTAGTTAATGCAAGATTAATAAAACTCAATTCGAGTTTTGCTAATTTCTCCCAGCATTAATGTAATGATTAATGGAGTGCCAAATCTTTACGTTTCAGTAGTGTTGAGGCGTTAAAAGGTCATGAGCCATTGGTTTCTGAGGCTAATATATGAACAGCTGAGTGACAGAAAATGACTCAGCAAAATTCTCTCAACAAGAATTGAATCCTGCAACTAAAGTTTACTTTACTGTTTATCGGTCCATATTTGACAGCAGCTCTTTTAAAAGTAGTGGAATAGTGCATCAAATTACAGGGGATGATGAATATGTGTACGAGAGAGCAAGAATGAGATGACTTGTTTTTTTCCCCCCACTATGTTCTACAGAAGTCAAAATAAAAGGCATGAATGACAAAATGTTTTGCCTGCTTAAAAAAAAGACATTACTCTTGATTAAAGGAAAAATCCTCATAAATATGATATAAATATCAAAACTTAGTATGTTCTTACCTTCAGTAGCCTGACGCACAATGTTAATATCACGACTCATGACTGTACAGGATGGATGGAACTCTTCCTGAAGTACCATGGCTTCAATACGCACCTCAAAGCTTTAAAATTGAGCAAACAATAATTGACCTGCCTTTTGTGTATGATGTTAGGTATTATGAAATCTTAGATTTGTATTTCATTGATAAGAGAGATCTTGTGCGCCTCTTACCGTGGCACTTGAATCAGCAGGAACATGAAGGAATCAACCAGTGTCAGCTTATTTGGGTCTCCTTTGAATTCCTTCAATCTCTTCACCTAGTGAATATATGTGATTTAAATCCAAAGAGAAAACGTATGTACTAGGGATGCCCAATGTATTTGTACCATTTTTAATTTATCAGTTGATTGGATTTATTGTAGATGCAATTTTTTTTAATATAGAGACCTTTACTTTCATCTAACACTTAATGTTAAATATTAAAGCTTAATGTCCATTTTTCATACTACAAGTTATGTTGTGATGTAACTAGTATACATAGTATACATTTTAATTTCTGAAATTTATTAATTACTGTATATACTGTAACACACATAATTATTAGCATCGGTATTGGCCATATTGGTAACATTTTATTTTACGGTGTCCTTGTTACACATTACATGTACTTACTATTATAATAACAATAAATTATGCATAATTACATGCAACTAACCCTATACCAAACCCTTATCCTAACCCTAACCCTACAGTAAGTACATGTAGTTAATTCATATTACTAATTACTTGTATGTATAATTACACTGTAACAAGGACACCTTAAAATAAAGTGTAACCACCAGATTTTTAAAGTTAATACCTCAACACAGGCCCATTCATCTGATTAAAGATGATAGACAGTGCCAAGTACAGGCACTATTTGGCAAAAAAATTTTTTTTATAAAATGTTCCATATTCCTTATAAATTATGTCTTGGCAGTGTTGGTAATGTTAACTAAAAGTAAAAATTGTTTTTGTTAATTGAAAATGCTGAAATAAATTATAATAATAATTTATGCATTTAGCAGACGCTTTTATCCAAAGCAGCTTACAGTACATTCAGCCTATACATTTTTTACCAGTATGTGTGTTCCCTAGGAATTGAACCCACGACCTTTGCGCTGCTAACGCAATGCTCTACCACTGAACCACAGGAACACTATATGAAATAAATAATAAATAAGTAATTTATAAATTATAAATATTACAAACATAAACTGAATTTAAAATGAAAACTGAAAACTAATTCAAAATGTTAATAAATACTAAAATATTATATAAATAATACTAAAATAACACTCAACCCTGGTACACCTGGCATTAGCAACACATCTACATGCAGCAAATACACAACAAATGCGATGTGGCTATATGCATCTCTGACTGCCAGTAAATGTGGTTTGAGGGATTTAATTACTTTGTTCATAATACACATTGTATTTAATTTACTCCTGTATACATTGATGTCCATTTGTGATGAGGCAGATGTTAATAGCAGGTGCCATACACACCAAAAATGGGACTATACACAAATATGGTGTGGTTTCAGAATTCTCACCTCCTCTGCTTCAGGTAGAAGTTTGAGAAGTTCTTTCAGCGGTTCAGCTCCATATTGCTTACTGTTGCCCAGACGAATGTCTTCTACTATTGCATGATTGGACCTGAGAGAGAAAAACAGAAGTATAAACCAGACAATCAATTTTTGACTCGGTGTATGATCCAAAGAAAGATGGGAAAAAAACAAATCTTTACAAGGATGTGTGTTATATGTATATACTTATATAATGCAGGTATTTTGAGTCCCACTTCATATTAGGAGTCTTTAATTACTATGTACTTACATTAAATTAAGCATAAGGTAAGGTTAGGGGGTATATTGCACTACACAATAACAATTACACTAGCTCTATGAACTATATACAAGTCTGTATTTTTAAGGAAAGTATATCATAATAGCAAAAATTAATTACTATTAGTTAATTGGCCTATAGATTATAAAAAATAATCAAACTACTTAGTAGTTCATTAAGTTACTGTACAAATCTAAATGAATTACGGTGTCCACAAATCCCCATTACCAAACAGTCATACAAATGTTTAATATCCAGCATAAAAAAATCATAGATCACTAGTATCTAGTGATGAAAAAAATAATTCAACCTCAAAATGGTTGAAACAAAATAAATCTCACAAATGATGATGTTCAGATAAAAAGATTAATAAGTGCATAACCACTGTTGTGTTGAGATGATATTTAGTGATATCTTATAGTCAAAGGGAAATTATCTTACAATGCATTTTACTCTACATATCCTGTTAAAGGGCTAAAAAAATGAAAATTCTGTCATCATTTACTCACCCTCAAGTTTTTCCAAACCTGTATGAACTTCTTTCTTCTGTTAATCACAAAAGAAGATATTATGAATAATGTTTTTAACCAAACAGTTGACAGTAGCCATTTGTCAATGGCTACCGTCAACTGTATGGTTACCAACATCTTCAACGGCATGAGGTTTGGACTGAAATGAGGGTGAATAAATGATGACAGAATTTTCACTTTTGGGTGAACTATCCCTTTAAAGACTCCTTAAAATAAAGGGGTACAGAATTTGAAATACACACACACATGCAAACACAATTAATTTTAACCATTTAACCATTGATTTATTGATTGCTAAAAGTGTCCACATGCTGTATACTGTCCCCCAGAAATCTACATTGAGTGCATTTTAGCTGTTTTGTTACAGGTTTTAGTGATTATGTCTCTAAGCAATGACTCATTCAAATACGAATAAAGTCAAAAAGGTGTGAAAATGTTGCACAAACATAAGTGCATTGCTGTTTTTTTCAATGCATTTGTAATTTGCGTTCTGAAAGTCTGGGACTAATTGTAACATTGTCTCCTGCATGAGTGACTCAGCAAAGTGAATGTGACTCACAGTGTCTGATCAGCTCTACTATACATGACCATCACATACTCAGAATACACACAAACATCGAAGACAAAAATAAATATGATATAACCAACTGATCACAGAAAAAAGCATTGTCTTTTTGCATAATCATTTATAGTCATGCTGCCTTGGAGGATGTTGAAATACCTGTTCAAAAATAAACAAAAATCCTGTTTACACAGGACACATTCACCTTCTCTTGCCCATGATACAATGCAACAGGTCTGACGTAAACTTTTATTGTTTTATGCTTTTTTCTGTTCAATTTGTCTACTGAGCAACATACCTTGTCTTTGTTTATCTGTACCTAGTACTTGTCACAGTGAATGTATACGGCATCCTCATGTGAACTTCCAAGTATCAATCAGAACCTGAAAGCTATTGATCTTTACACAAGAGCATCGGATTTCTCTTGACCACCAGATCCTATTTCTGTGCTGGAGCACATGCACACATAGGTTTTTACACATGATGACACTGAGAAACTTACTTCTTGAACTGTTTGAGGAAAATTCCAATGTTCATTCCTCTCTTGGAGTCTAAGATGCTGATCTGGGAAAACAGAGGAATAGAGATGGTAATTAAAATGGATGGAAAGATACACAAAGGACAGACTGTGTGTGTTCTGACAGAGACGTAATTCCATTCAAATTTTTGGCCTTCAGGTTTTTGTGGCATGTTGATTTGAATGCAGCTTCCAAATAAATAAAACTGGTATCTCTGATGTTGCAAGATTACTATAAGCAAAAGAAAAGTGAGGTAAACCTTATTTTACAGTGTCCTCGTTACATGTTACATATACTTACTATAATAACAACAACAGTAAATTATGCATAATTACATGTAACTAATCCTAAAACCAAACCCTAATCCTAACCCAAACTCTATAGTAAATACATTGTTCTATAGAAAGTTAATTTACTCAGTACTTAAAGGTAAAGGAAAAATTTAAATTGCATCATATGACCCCTTTAAAGGGATAGCTCACCCAAAAGTGAAAATTTTGTCATCACCTGCTCATTACCCTCATATTGTTCCAAATCCATAAAACTTTCATCCATATTCAAAACGCAATGAAGATATTTGTAATAACCCTGAGAATTTTTTCCCCCCTCTGAAATTGAATTTCCCCAAAATGTTCACACTTCAAATGGTTGATGAAATGTGTTTGCATAGCTGGAAATTGTGTGTGTGTGTGTGTGTGGGGGG